GTCCAAGGCCATGGCACCATTACAGTCGGGGCCCTGAAGAAGGAACCCTTTACGTTGGGAAGGGGCTCCGTGTTCCTTAATTGTTTCGCAGCTTGCCCTGGATGTTCCTTAGGTTTTCGATACGAAATCGAAGTTCCACTTGTGGACAATCGGGGCCTTGTTCCTTATTTAGGGTTCCTTAGGTCAACGCCCCGACTGCATCGCGCACCCTCACTGCTGGTGTGGACTGCAGCCACTCCAGGGAAACGACCTGCTGTCCGGGGCCCGCTCGCCTCCCGGCACTCTCTTTTGCCTCGCTTCGGTCCACGGCGGCGGCCCTCTGCAGCTTAGTGGGCCCTGGAAACGACCGGGCCGTTTTGTACCGGTTCCGTTGTGCCGTTTTTGTTGCCGGTTCCGACGCCGCGCCCTCTCCTCCTCCTCCTCGTTCTCCTCCTCCTGCTCCTCCTCCTGCTCCTCCTCTTCCTCCTCCTACTTCGACGACGATGACTCCTCCTCCCTCCTCCTCCTCCTCCTCCTCCTCCCCCTCCCCCTCCTCCTCCTCCTCCTCCTCCTCCTCCTCCTCCTCCTTTTTTCACCGGTTCCGTCACCGTTTCTTGACCGGTTCCGGCCCCGGTTCCGATCCTGGAGCCGTTCTTGTTGCCGCTTCCGGTCGCCGTTTGCTTGCCGCTCCCATGTTCAAAGGGCCTTTTTTCGGCAACGGTGAAGAGAGGGCCCTGCCGTTTCCGGGGCTCACCACCCACCAAACCACCCCAACCCAACCCGAAACTCGGGTCAAATTCGGGTCTTCGGGTTGGGTTGGGGTGGTCTGGTAGGTTGTCAGGGGCCCACCGAGCTCTGCAGGGGTCTCTGGCCCCTTCGCAGGGGCCGGCTCTTCCTCCCGGTCCGTTCTCTCTGGCGGCCTCGGGGCCCGGCCAGAGCACCCACAGAGGCCGAAGAGCGGCCGTCCGTCGTGGTTTCTGATGGGCGTGTTTTCCACCACCACCACCATGAGTTGGAGGGGGGGTCCTCCTCCTCCTCCCCCTCCTCCTCCTCCCCCTCCTCCTCCTCCTCCTCCTCCTCCTCCTCCCCCTCCTCCTCCTCCTCCTCTTTGTCCTCTTCCTCCTCGCCCTCCTCCTCCCCCCCTCCAACTTATGGTGGTGGTGGCGGAAAACAGGCTCATCAGTTTCTGCTCGCGACGCGCGTGGGTCTTGAGGTCTGGAGGGTGAAGTCCTTTGTGCTGGGGCAGAGGGAGGGGGGAAGGCTCCTTCGAAGGAGACGGCTTCTCAGAGCCCCGGATCATCAGGGGTAACTCGGGTCAGGATTAACTCGGGTTCGTTTTTCGGGAATCCGAACCCGAGTTATCCCGGACCCGAGTTACCCCGGATATTTCGGGCGTCCAGAGCCCCGAATCATCAGGGGTAACTCGGGTCAGGGCTAACTCGGGTTCGTTTTTCGGGAACCCAAACCCGAGTTACCCCGGACCCGAGTTACCCCGGATAACTCGGGCGTCCAAGCTTCTTCGAAAGCGCGGGCGTCCTCGATGAACACAAGCCCAGCGCATTTTGGGAAGCAGTCTCCTTCTAAGGGCGCTCCCCCCCTACCCCTACCCAGAACCCCCGGCGTCACAATGTTGTTCAGTGCGTCGACCCCCAGAGTTCTCGACCCATTCCTTGGTACTGGTTTTTCCTCCCGAATCGTTTCGTAAAGGTCCCGAGGCCCGGTAGGGGCACCCCGAGGGCGACAAAGAGCGAACCTTTTTCCACCGTGATCCTTCTATGACTCGAGGAGGTCCGTGTACCCCGCTCTGCGCGCCGCCACTGCATCGATGCTGACTGACCCTGAGATCCGATGTTGTGAAACATTGCAACACGGTAGGAAATCACGTGTGAAGCCTCAGACCCCATCTTTCTGCGACGGTTTTGGAGCCAGATCGATCTGTGAGCGTCCCGTGACCCGTGACCCGAAACGGGGCGAAAAAACTCCCGTTGCGAAAAATGTGCAGCGCCAGGATCTCAGCCCAGACCGCCGACGTCGTGATTTTTCACAACGTCGACTTCCAGTGTTCTAGACCCCTTCCCCAGGAATAGTTTTTCGTCCTGAGTTATTTTTTGACGGTCCCGAGGCCCAGTGACTAAGGGCTTCGTTCGTCGAAGGAAACTGGCCACAGACGGAAACTCCTGGAGGAAGGAGGCGAAAGCCTCCTGTCCCTCGCAGCTCCTTTGTGCACGGTCCCGGGCACGCGTGCCACTTGTTTTTTTGACGGTTCCGAGGCCCAGTAACTGAGGGCTCCCAGAGGCCGAAACTCGCAGCAACAAAAAACCCTCGAGATGTTTGCAAAATGCGTGGGGGTCTGGGCCCTGGGTCCGGCAACCCGCACCCATACCCATCCATAGCCAGCCCTGCTCTACCCTTAGGTCGGGCCTGTCCCCCTACAGGGGGGGTTTGGACGAAAACAAAAAAACATCCAAAACATATTCAAACGATGCCCAAACATATGCAAAACACGTCCCCAGATTCTCTTTTAAATACTATTTTTGAATATTCCCCCTGTAGAGGGACAGGCCCTACTTAACCATACCCACCCGCACCCATACTCATCCTCTCCCATTTCCCACCCGCACCCAGGGGAGAGCGGGTAAACGCTAGCGGGCAGCATGGGACTTCTCCTCCCTTGACCCTTCACGTTGTCCCTGACGGGGAGCCAGACTCCCAATCGTGATCTCTTCACAACGTCGACCACAGGAGGTCTCGACCTATCCCCCGGGATCTACCCCCAAGAGGATTTCAGGGGATCCGAGGCCCGGTGAGGGCCCCGGGAGGCCGAAACTAGCCAAAACATTCCCGTCGTGATTGTTGTCACAACGCGAGGGTGTCCGGCAGGGCCTTCCGTGGCAACTCACGGGAGCTTCCTATGCATACCATCTTGTCGGCTCTTGCGAATCGGCGCTAGTCGATGCTAAACCGACGCCAGTCGACGCTAGTCCTCGCTAAATCGACGCAATTCGACGCTAGTCGACATGTTTCTCTCCATAACGCGAAGGGCGTCTGGGAGGAGGACGAGGAGGAGGAGGTGGAGGAGGAGGAGGAAGGGGACGAGGACGAGGAAGAGGACGAGGAGGAGGAGGATGAGGAATATCATAAGAAGATGAAGAGGAAGAGGAAGAAGAAGAAGAAGAAGCAGAAGAAGAAGGAGGAGCAGGAGGAGGAGGACGAGGAGGAGGAGGAGGACGAGGACGAGGAGGAGGAGGATCTGCTCACAACGCGAAAGGGGTCTGGGAGGGAGCCGTGCCTCCGCCGGCCAGCCCAGGGGCCCCGCCGCCTGTGCGCGGCTCTGGCGCCCCTTGCGGACGCGGGCCGCCCCGCGCCCGCCCCGACGCGCGCACGGGAGCCCCCCGCGCGCGCTGCGCCGCGCCCCGGGGGGGTGAAGTCGAGCGCTCGAGGGCGCTTTGGAGCGACGCGTGTCTTCCCTGACCTTCCAGAGAGCTATTTTGTAGCACTGGAGGCCTAACAACTTTTTTTATTTTATTTTTTTTTAAAAAAAAAAAAAAAACAAAAAAAAAAAAAAAAAAAAAAAAAAAAAAAAAAAAAAAAAAAAAAAAAAAAAAAAAAAAAAAAAAAAAAAAAAAAAAAAAAAAAAAAAAAAAAAAAAAAAAAACGAAACGAAACGAAACAGCCCAAAACCAAGACGTAGAAGAGCTCTGGGACAGGTTTTTGAGTCGCGTGCTATTTTCTAGCCCTCCTGGTAGGTCAGGGCTCCTCCTGGCCCGACCTGCCCGGCCCGGGACCGCTGGGGCCGCGGATGGAGCCGAGCGCGCCGGATGATGTTTTGGGGGGGCCGTGGCGGGGGGGCTGGCGAAGGACGAGCGCGCCTCCTTCCAGCTCGCCCCCTCGACTATAGTCAGGAGCGAAAGAAGGACGTACACGTACATGAATCCACGCTGGTTTCGAGAGTACGCATTGTCCGAAAGTTCGTATCACGCGGCCGGTCTCGCAGATCGAGGGGCCGTGTTCATGTACATAGTTGGTCGCGTACGTCCTCTGTGGGCTCCCTATATAGACGTAGGAGTGACCGTTCGCCGGAGTGACCTCTGGTGCGGGCACAGATGAGTCTCATGTTGGGCGTGTCCCCCTACAGGGGGATGTTCGACGAAAGATGAAAGATATCCCAAACATGCCCCAAGAAGGTCAACAACGATTTTTAAAACAGCCCCAGACTATGTTTGGATTGTTTTTTGGATCATTGTTTGGGTATTTTTTCGTCGATAATCCCCCTGTAGGGGGACAGGCCCGACTTAACTCTACAGTTGTGGAGGACAGTCAATGGAGAGGAAGCGTGCGGCCAAATAGTTCCCAGATGTCTAGAGCATGTGTTAAGCATGTAAGAAGCATGTATAAAACAAGGTTTACAACATGTTCCCTACATGTCAGACACATTTCGAATTCGATGATAGGACTGTTAGGGTGTCCATTGTCGTGGCATCCACAACTCTACAGGAGGAATCTTCAAAGATAGTCAAACAATAGTCTGGGGACGATTTTTGACAACTTGTCGGGTATCTGGGGGCCTTTTTGGGTGTCTTTTATTTTCCTCCAAAATCCGCCCGCAGGGGGACATGCCCGACCTGTTTCGAGGGGGAGGGGGAGCGAGAGGGGGGGACAGGCACAGGTCGAAGAAGAAAGAGCGCCATGCACATAACGAAACTTCTGGCGCTCCGCGCGGATTTCTTGGATCCGCGTTGTGGTGCCCCCCCGGAGCCGCTTCCAGCGCTGCCCCTGGCGCGCTCCGCGCGCCATGGAAGGGGGGGGGGTCGGCCCGAGGGAGGGGGGGACAGGCACAGGGGGGGATCGGTTTTGAGTCGGGCACGTCCCCCGCTACAGAACGAGTATTCAAACATAGTCAGGAAATAGTCTGCGGACGATCTCTGGTTGTTTGTGACCACGTTTGATATGTTCTATTGTTTATGACAAAAAAAAACGTGTTGAACCCGCCTGTCGGAGGACATGTCCGACCGACGGAGACGCACAGCTCTGGGATCCTGGCGCTGCCACTGGTTCACGACGGGCGTTTTCGCACCGTTTCGGGCCCCCAGGACCCTCATAGGTCGATCCAGCTTGATACATGATGCGGAAAGATGGGCTCCGGGGCTCCGGTCGTGATTTTTTTACGAGTCCTCCATGTTTTCGCAACGTCGGACCTCAGGGAAGCAGCCCGAGGGAGAGGGGGATAGGCACAGGGGGGGATAGGCCCAGACCCCCTCGCGACGTGAGAATTCACGACGGGAGGTTTTTCTAAATTCTCGGGCCCCCAGGACCTTGCTGGGCCTTGGGACCGTCAAAAAGCGAGTCAAGATGAAAAGCGGGTCCCCAGGAGGAGGTCGAGACCTCTGGGAATTCGACGTTGTGACGAAATCACGGCGTCGGGGTCTGAAAGTTGATCTTGACGTTGGAGTTTTCACAACGGGCGCTGTCGCCCCGCTCTCGCCTGGGCCTGGGGGCGCAGGAGGGTGGGGATACAGTCGGGGCCCTGAAGAAGGATCCCTTTTGGTTGGGTAGGGGCTCGGAATTCCTTGATTGTTCTGCAGTTTGCCTTTTGTTTTCCTGAGGTTTTCCATGGGAAATCGAAGTTCAACTAATGGGAGAAAGGGGCCCCGTTCCTCATTTAGGGTTCCTTAGGTCAACGCCCCCACTGTAGGCAGTGGGGGGGGCGCAGGTGGAGGGGGGGAGAAGAAAACACTCATCGGTGTTCATGGGCTGCAGATTCCGCTTCAGGGGAGGGGTCATACGGCAGGTTCGTGCGGCGTTGGTCGGGTCGCGATCGGGTCACGATCGGGTCAAGGTTAACCGATCGGCGCGGTGTCAGAAACCTTGGCGCGCGCCGACGCCGCAGCCCGAGAAGTGGGGAATAGGCATGCACCCATCAGGAATCTGAAGAAGAAGAGGCATTTGCGCTCATGGACTCCAGATGTCGCTATAGAAACTCAAGAACCCTTGCTGGATCCTGGGCGTCTTCTTGGAGCTTTTCTTCCTGACTGGCCGCTAGTCTGTGTGGACCTGGGCAAAGATTTGGGAACACGCTTGGAGCGCGAAGGCCACCTTTTTCCACATTCTTAGCGCACACGGCCCTTCACTCTAAGCATGGGTTGGGCGCAGGGGGGGACACGTCGATCCCCAATCGCCCACTGATCGCGGAGAGGGGTCTCGTAGCCCCACCCTGCCCGGGAACGTGCGGGTTCGCTGACTATCGGGTGCCTATCGCCGATCCGTCTGCGACGTGCCGCCGATTCCAGGCCGGTGCCTCCCCCCCCCCTTTGCCAGCCCCCCATGCGCCGCCGCGGGTCGTGGCGTGGCCATGCTGCAGGGGGGGGGGGAGGCGGCGGGTGGCGGGGCCCGTCGCTGGGAACGGTGTCGCGAAGGACGATGGCATGACCCCAGCAGGTTCCAGGTCTCCTGAAGATGGTGCCCAGCAGGTGGTGTCGGAGTGCCGCGCCTCGTCGCCGGTGCATCGGCGATGCGGCGCGATGTGGAGCCCGATGTCTTTCCCCCCCCCCCCCCACGTCTCCGATGCATCGCCGGCGTCGCCGATGCATTGGAGATGCCTCGGGGATGCGGCGCGATCCCCCGACCCGATCTACTCGGACTTCATTGGGAAGGCTTGAATCGGTGGCGCGTACTAACAGCCCTGGGCGTCTTCGAGACCGTTCTAGTTCCTTTCTGAGGTGCGCTTACAAAGGGGCCTCGCTTGTAGGGGTGCTTATTCTGACAGCGATTCGCCCGCCTTCGAATACAGCGTCGTCGCCGGCGTCGTCGAAGTCATCGTCGCCGTTTTCGCAGGCTTCCAGTGGCTCTCGGAGATCTGCGGCGGTTTTCAAGGGTCTGCGGTGGCGTTCGTTGGCCCTCGGAGACTTTCGGAGGATCCCGGATGTTCTCAGAGGTCGTCGCCGTGCCGTCGTCATCGTCGCCGCCTTCCGCTGGCAGCGAGATGCGACGCTCTGGTGCGTTATATTTGCCCCTCCTGGGGTCCCGGGGTCGCCCTCGAGGCTGCGGCCAGGTCCGCCTCGGGCCTCTGGCCAGAACGCGTGTGGGGTGACGTGGTGCCGTGTCGTGTCGGTCGTCGTCGGCGTCGTCGTCTCTCTGCGGCGGGGAAAGGCTGGAGGTCCGAATATCCGAGGGGGGGGGAGGGAGGGGAGGGACCCAGCAATCTCCCTGGAGGGAGGGAGGGAGAGGCTGGAGGTCCGAATAGCTTCTCCAGCAAGGGGGGGGGAGGGACCCACGCGATCTCCGATCCGAAAGCAGAGAGAGGAAGGAGGGAGGGGAGGCTCCCTGGGAGCAGTGACAGAGCGGTGAGGAGCAGCAGGAGGATCGGGCACAGGCGGGGAAGAGGACGAGGAGGAGGAGGAGGAGGAGGAGGAGGAGGAGGAGGAGGACGAGGACGAGGGGGAAGGCGAGGAGGGCGAGGAGGGCGAGGAGGAGGGGGACGAGGAGGGCGAGGAGGAGGAAAAGGAGGAGGATGAGGAGGAGGAGGAGGGGGAGGAGGGGGACGAGGAGGGCCCGCCCTCTTAAGAGGAGGCCGCCCCCACCCTCGCGCCCCGTGCCGGCCGGAGGAGTCCGCAGCCGCGTGGAAGGAAGTATCGACCCGCCTGGCCGCAGCGCTGGAGCGCGCCACCGCCGAGGATGGGGGCCTTGAGGACGACGACGACGAGTGGCTGAGGGCCAGGGAGCCGCAAAACGCGTGAGACTCCGAGGACTCAGCCAGGTTTCGCGTCTACGTCTTAAAACAGTGCGTGGAGCGCGCGACGAATCATGTACGAGGCCTCTCGCTTCGCGTGGTGCACGGCCGGAACGCGTAAAAAGAGGGCGTTCGCTGGTTGGCTCGTTTGCCGAACAGGTCCACTGGCGTTCTGCCGTCTTCGCGTCTTGAAAATACGTCTTTGGAAGCCTCGCGGGCACGAGCCTCAATAATGCTCCTGAGTTTTCTGTATGGTCTTGAATCCGCCAAGATGTCCACTATCCTGGCTGACGGCTTTGGCATGGCGCTGGTGGGGGGGTAAGGCTGGATGGTTTGCCCTGCTCGTCTGCTGTGCCGGGATGCCGTGCCGTTCTGGGAGCCTTCTGCGGGCCCCTCGGGACTTCTCAGGGCCTCTTGGTGGTGTCTCGGAGGCTTCGCGGGAGCTAGTTGGGGCATCTGATCTGGGCCGTCTGATGCCCCTCTTGGGGCCCTCTTCGGAGCCTCTGGGGCCGTCCTGGGGGGCCTCCCTGGGCTGCCTGAGGGCGCCTCTATGTGAGCCCTCTTGGGGCCCTCCGAGGCCGTCTTGGGAGCCTCCTGGGCCCTCTTGGGCCGCCCTGGGCAGTCTTCCTGGGCAGTCTTGGGACCATCTTGGGTTTCTGTTGGGCTCTGCTGGCGGCTCTCAGGCTCACAGGAAGGTACTCCAGATTTCGTAATAAAGGAAAGGGGGGTCTCATTTCGGGGGGGGGGGGTATCTTCCAGGCCATCTCGGAGGGCCTGGGGGGTCTGGGGACGATGTTCTGGAGGGTTCTCCCACGGGGGAGGTCTGCAATGGCTTGCCTTGGAGGGTCCAGACCCCCTCCCTTTTGTTACGAACTCTGGAGTAAGAGCACGGGAATCATTTGCAGACATGATGACGTTCAGCTGCTGTTGCCTCGGGAGGTCCTCTCGGGGGAGGCGCCGTCCTCGGACCGTCTCGGGGCCACATGGGGCCACCCTGCAGACATAGATTGAGTCGCCTGAGGGCCCCCCCATGGACACTGAGGGGGCCCACGTGGCCAGAGTCGTTGATTCGTTTGATCGTGCATTCTTGACTCCCACATTGGGCCCGCCATCTGGGCACAGGAAAACACACATCACAACGCAGTCATTGGCACAACGGCGATCCGTTTCGCTTTCGGGCTTGGATGCCGTTAGGCTGATCCCACATCCGCAGACCCCCAGTTGCTGTTTTACTTATGCTTGTCACTGCAGGCTTTGAGTTAGGAAAGTGAGAACGAGCACCCGAGGAGGAAAGGAGGGCGAGGAGGGGCGAGGAGGGACGAGGCGGAGGGAACGGAGGATTGAAAGGTCTTGCAAGGATTCTCGCCCTTTGTGGCCTGGGACTCTCTGACAGGATTTTGAGCGTCCAGAAACCTCCCACCCAGCGCCAACGACGACGACGACGATCCAGCCATAGTAGGATTATGTTGGAAGTGTGCTCTGCCCTAGGAGGATTCTATTAGAGCTGGTTCGAGTCCTGGGAGGATTTCTTCAGAGCTGGGCCGAGCCTTACAGGGCTCTGTGAGAGCTGGATCGACCGAAGGATGGTAGTAAAGCTGGATGCAGCCCTGGCCATTCTTTGAAAACTGGATCCGCCCCTACAAAGAGTTCTATCAAAGCTAGATCGGGCCTCGGAGGAATTCTATGAGAGCTGGATCGGTTTCCAATTCGATTATTGTAGGGGTCGCTCTATCATAGTAAGATCACCTTAGAGCTGGAATGGCCTTCAGTAGGATCGAAGTAGAGCTGGAGCAACCCGTGATCCACTAGCATAAAAAGTTGGATTGAGCTTGAGCATGACCCGTTCATAGCTCGATCCAGTAGAGTTAGATCCAGCTCCAGTAGGATTCGATCAAGGTTGGGTCGGGCCTTTTGCAGGATTCGGTTCAAGCTTGCGCTGTCATTTGCTGGTGTCTGTAAGAGGTGGATCGAGTCCTTTTCTACAGGATTCTTTCAGAGCCGGATGAAGCCCTAGAAGGATCCGTTCAGAGCTGGATCCAAACACGGCTTCGTCCTATCAGAGTTGGATCCAGCCCAGGAGGATTCAATTTGAGGGTTTTCGTAGAGCTGGAGCGAACCTAGTAGCATTCTATCCGAGCTGACGCCTGAGCGCGGGCGACGGCGACACATGCGCCGCCGCCGCCGCCAACGTTGTCGCCGTCGTCGTCTTCAGCGTCTTCGTCGTTTTCGTTGGTGGTCGTCGTCGTCGCCGCCGCCGTCGTCGTTTGCTGGCAGCGACGGCGTCGCCGCCGTTGTCCGGGGGACGGAGAAGCCCGGAGCCCTCGGATAATTTTCCCAAAGAGGGGGTGGGCGGGTGGGTGCAGTTTTGGAAGTTTCAGAATCATTGACTTGGGGGCTGGGGCTGGTCCTGGACCCCCCTCCAAATAGGGGAGGGTGGTCGTGGACCCCCCCTGGGATCATCCTCCTCCAGGGGGTGGGGGGCGGACCTTTAGTTTATGTCGCGGGTTAGGTGGGGGGTGCGGTAGGGGCGGCGGGGGGGGGGGGGACGGAGGGGCATGTTTGGTTTCTAATCACCCCCTAGTTGGGGGATTTTTGAAAAAGAGGGGACGGGGGGCACTTTGGTTGCTAATCTTCTGATGTCCCAACCTATGTTAGCCTTGATCATCCGAAATAATTTCGAGCGCCCAAGCAAATACCGAAACTTGAAGGTTTTGGGCCCTGGGAGACACTCGTCCGACACTGCTTCGACACTGTTTCGACACTCTCTCGACACTTTTCAGGGTGCTCGAAATTATTTGTGGGATGTGGTCCTTAAGTGCGATGGGAGCAACATAATGCTACTCCTTTCCTTTTTGGGGACTCTTGAAGAAGATAGGGATGGCCCCCCCCCCGGGTTTTTGAGTTTCTGAGGCCCGAGACGGTGGATCGCGCTCCCCCACCCGTTCCGGGGCCTCGTCCTGGCTCCTTCTCGAGCGCTCCTGAAGCCATCACGGGGAGCAGCCAGGTCTTGCATCCCTTCGACGCTCCACTGCCTCTTCTGGATTATCTTGCGATGACTGCGGCGTCCTCTCGCGTTCAGTTTCGGGCCTCTCGGGACCTCGTGCTGTGCCTTGGAGGCCCATTCGGCTATGCTGGCGGCGGTTGGGTGCATCCCATGGGCTATCTAGAGATCGCCCTAAGGGAAGGGAAGTTGAGGTCCGGGCCCCCCCATATCCAAGCAGTCTTTGCACCGAGCCCCGCCTCGCAGAGCCGCGATTCGGAGCCCGGGTTGGGGGGGGACAACTCCCAGATGTGTGGATGCCATGGAGAGGTTGCGCCCGAAGCGTCGCTCAATGTACCGCCTCTGGGGCCTGCCTCGGGGCCCGGGGACCAGCAAGAGACGCCGAGGATGAAGCATGCTGTCTCCAGCAAGGCCCCAGGGAAGGTACTTGCGCATCCTGTGTCGTTCCCGCGGCTCTGTCATAGCCGAGGCCGCTCGGCGACTCCCGCGGCGTGCCCACGGGCTCCGACGCCGAACGGCCTCAGGAGGAGATCCGAGGAGGAGGAGGAGGAGGAGGAGATCCGAGGAGGAGGAGGAGGAGGAGGAGGAGCAGGAGGAGGAGGAGCAGGAGGAGCAGGAGGAGGAGAACGAGGAGGAGGAGGAGGAGGAGGAGAACGAGGAGGAGAACGAGGAGGAGAACGAGGAGGAGGAGGAGGAGGAGGAGGAGGAGGAGCCACCACAGCAGGCTCCTGAGGACGGGGCGCGAGCTCCAGGCCCCGCGCACGGAGCAGGCCAGGACAGGCACCTCGGACGCCCAGTGGCCCCAGAGGGGCCAGCGTGCATGGCGGCCTGAGGCCGCCATAGGCCGTCGGCCTGGGCACCTTCCTTTGCTCCGGTCGACGGCCCCCTGCACGTGCATGCTCTTTTTGATGGGCCTGTTTTCCACCACCACCACCACAAGTTGGAGGGGGAGGCGGTCCTCCTCCTCCTCCTCCTCCTCCTCCTCCTCCTCCTCCTCCTCCTCCTCGTGTTCCTCCTCCTCCTCCTCCTCCTCCTCCTCCTCCTCCTCCTCCTCCTCCTCTCCCTCCTCCTCCTCATCCTCATCCTCATCCCCATCCTCCACCTCCTTCCCCTCTCCAACTCATGGTGGCGGCGGTGGTGGTGGAAGACAGGCCCGTCACCCGTCGCCCTGCTGGAGCCTTGCTCGGCCGGCGGAGTCGGCACGAAGGAACAGGGCCCTGGAGGGTTGTCGCTGTTCTCGGTCGGCCAGGCGCAGAGGGAGGCAGAGGCAGGGGGGAAAGCTTCTTGGAAGCACCCCTGCTTCTCAGAAGGCGCGGGTCTCATCTGTAGGTGTAAGGCCCGCGCCTTCTAAGAAGCAGCCTCCTTCTCTAAGAAGCCTCCCCCCTTCCCCCTACCCCCTCTTTGCGCGCCGCCAACTCGGGCTCCCGGAGCTCGTCAGAGGCTCCCAGGACCGTCGACACCTGTTCCAAGAACCGCTTGGGCTTTGGGAAAAGGCCTGTCCCGCAGAAAGCCCTGAGGCCCAGGATCCGTTCCCACCACGACTCAGGAAAGACAAATCTGCACAACACACAGATCAGCAATAAAAGGTTTGAAAATATGGTGAGGAACATTGGGAATGGAGGGGGAAAGAGGAGTCAAGGAAACATGTGAATATATGGATCAGCCTGAACTCTGTGTCGATGTGTTTGTGTCTATCTGGGCCCTGTAACGACCACGTTCCTTCATGCCAGCGATGTTTTTTACTGACCTGGTCCGTTCGGCGAGGGGCCGTTCGGCAAGCCCAGCTGTACAAACTGACTGCTAGACAGGCTGGTGACGCTGTCGATGCTGATACTGGTGGCGAGCGTCAGCAGGCGAATCTGTCCTGAAGTTTAGAAATTAAGGTTGATTGCGTGGGCGATCGTTGTCCTTTGCCATCGCGTGCGCTTGGAGTCGTGTGCCCCCCTTGGGCCATGAGCCATGACTTTGCAGACCCAGTCTGTCCCGAGATACGCTCAAATGTGACGTCGGATCAGAATCGTGGTCTGAGTAAGCTTCCTATAGCGCGCTTCTTGGTGCGCGCGAAATTTCAAATTAGGACAGCCTACATTGAGCAGAACTTTTCCGCGAGCAAGGCTGGACATATTTTTGCAGAGGGCCAGAGCGCTTCTCTCTGAGAATCGACAGCTTACGCCGTTGAGAGCGTACTTTCCCGCAGCTGTGCAAAACTGCGAGGACTCAAAGGCACTCTGATCTGCACTCCTAAGCAAATTTGTCATGCTCTGTCCCGGCTTCCTCACCCTACCCTCCCTGTCAACGCCATCGTCATCGTCTCCGAGATCTGCCTACGCAGCATGTCACATTCATTCTTCGGGTGCGACGTGAACGGTAAAAGGACAATCCTTGACGCTTCGCGCGTCCCCAATCGCCCAACCAGACACGATGCCCAGCGGAGCTGCCCTGAGCTCCTTGAGGTCTCGTGAGGCATCGTGTGACCCATGGGGCGTACACACGCCGTGGGCCTCACACGTGCCATGGGCTATGATGTGCGACCACCCGTTGCGGGAAGGATTTATATCCATATCCAGTGCGTCTTGGATTTTCTTGGAAGGGGCGCCACAAGGCCGAGGCGCACTGGACATGGATAAACATCGAGCCTCTAGGGGGCAAACTTGTCCATATCCAGTGCGCCTCGGGTTTCTGGGGAAGGGAGCCCGAAACTCAATACCGCAGTGGACACGGACAGAAGTATTACCCGCACCCCGTCTGAACGCCCCCGAGTTGGCGATGTTCGCAGGGCCCGGCAGCGAGCCGCGGGCCCCGAAAGAAAGCCCGGATTGCACACAGTTTATCGTCGGATATTTCGGCTGGGACGATGGCATCGCGGGGGAAGGGGTCGGGGATTGGGGCTCAGGAGATTGTTTCTTTTAGGGTCCGGCGATGACCCCGGTTATCGGGCTTGCCCCCCCTCCCCGCCCCCTTCCCCAGATAACCTAACCTTGCCGGTTGTGCAGGTCCGGGGTGGGGGGCGCGGGCATATGCACGGCTGCCCGCAGCGCGAAGGTAAGGTTATCGGGTTGCCCTTCCTGCACCCTCCCCCCCCTGGGATCACCCGGGCTATCGCCGACTCAAAAAAATTGTGCTTTCGCTGACCGGTGGCGAGCCCCAGAGTGTGTTCATCGCGCCGAGCCGTGCTGACACAAAAGCCTCGTCGTCGTTGCCCCCTTCTTTTGTGTGGCCAACTTCGGAACCTGTGGAAAGTCTTCGGATAGGGTAGATGTTTTGAAGATGGCGGCACTTAGCGGCACGACCGCTTGCGGTCCCGATGGGGCCGGCAGTCTCACTCACGCGCCCGTGGTTTCACGGAGGTCGGCGACCCCGAGCCTTGCTTTACATGCCCGTGGCCCAGATGCGGCTACACGGCCACTAAGTGCCATTCAATGGTAATTCTCGGAACCACTAACGGCCACTACATGCCCCTAAATTATCAATTTCGGAACCACTAACGGCCACCAAGTGCCACTAAATGGTAGATCTCTGGCTGCGAAGTACCGCTAAATGGTATGAATTCTCCGAGCCACCAACGGCCATTCAATGCCAGTAAATGGTGAATCTCGGAGCCACTAGCGGCCGCTGAGTGCCACTACATGGTGCTCCTCGGAGCCAGCAGGGGCTGCTGGGCGCCACTCAATGTGCTTTTTTTCGGGGCCGCGACTAAGTGCCACTAAACGGCCGCGACAGGCCGCTAGCGGCCACCAAGTGCCACTAAATGGTCATTCTCGGCGGTCGCGATGGTCAGTCCGAAGTTCCTTCGACAGCCCACGGGACTTCTTCTGGTGTCGACCCTTGGGCGGCGGCACGCCAGGAGCGTCACCAGGGGGCGGCCGCCTCCTGGGCTCGGCGCCAGGGCTGGACCTCAACGGTGTCTGTGGTGATTCCGTGGGCCGTTTTCGTTTCGACTTCGTTTTGCCGCAGAGGCAGACTGGAGAAGAACGCGAGGGGAAACGGAAACAAAACGAAAACGAACAGCACCGTTTAGCTTCAGCCCTGCTCGGCGCCGTCGGGGCCACATCCCCAGATCTCCGAAGAGATTGTTTTGTTCAGTCCCCGCGCCTTCCCTCGACAACTTCGGCCCCCAGGGCCCGTCGTCGGGCCACGCAGGGGGGCATCGGCAGCGGGCCCCGGGCGACAAGAGTGGGCCCCCCCCTGGGGGGAAGGCGTCGGGGACTCCCTGGGGCTGCGCGCCGGAGCAAGCCTGCTGCTTGTGATCGCTTTCTTCTTCGTCACTGTGCCGATCGGCGCGGGCCCTCGCACCTCCCCCCTCCTCCTCCTCCTCCACCTCCCCCCTCCTCCTCCTCCTCCTCCTCCTCCTCCTCCTCCTCCTCCTCCTGCTCCTGCTCCTGCTCCTCCTCCCCCTCCTCCTCCTCCTCCTCCTCCTCCTCCTCCTCGTTGGCTGTTTGTGGCGCATGCTTCGAGCAGGTGGAGCCTCCCCCACAGGACGCGCTGCTGCAACCAGTCGCACTAAGCAGAGGTCCGGAGAGCGGGACGCCCAGGAAGCACCAGCGCACTTTTGGCCAGGCGGCCGCTGTCTGCAGTCGTCCTTCGTCGAAGGCGCGAGGCGGGATATCCAGGGAGCACCAGCACCTTGGGCCTGGCGGCTGAGGCATGCAGGGTGTACGAGGCGTGTCGGTAGCTCTGACCTGTCGGGTGGCTCTGACGTTTATCGTTTTCCTTCGATTTTCGGCCTCCGGGGGGGTCCCCGTCGCCAAGCCTGCGTTCGCTTCGAAAACAATGGCCAGGAAACGTTGTTTGAGAGGTCCATAGGGCGACGAGGGCGACGAGGGCGACGAGGTCGCCGGCGACGACGAGGACGCCAAGGACGGCGCCTGCTACGATAACGGCGACAAGGTGGAGGAGGAGGAGGAGGTGGAGGAGGAGGAGGAGGAGGAGAAGGAGTAGGAGGAGAAGGAGGAGGAAGAGGAGGAGGAGAGGGAGGAGGAGGAGCGAGGAGGAGGAGGGGAGCAGGAGAATTTGGAGCAGGAGGAGGAGGAGCAGGAGGAGGAGGAGGAGGAGGAGGAGGAGGAGGAGGAGGGGAAGGGGCTGGAGGAGAAGGAGCAGGAGGAGGAGGAGGAGCAGGAGGAGGAGGAGGGAGAGGATGAGGGGGGGGGGAGTCGGACAACCCCGACCCGTCGGGCGGGGAGCCACCTCTCTGGGTGCCTCGACATGCGGCCCGCGGACGCCCACGGCTGCCAGGCCAGAGGTGGGCCACGGCGTCCTCGGCGGCACGCGGCCCGGCGGTGAGGTCGGCCGGCCGCGGGCGCAGGGGAGCTCCTCGGCAGAGGCGGCGGGCGCCGCGGCGGAGGCCCAGCGGAGGCCCAGCGGAGGCCTGGGGCCAGCGGAGGCCTGAGGCCAGCGGAGGCCTGAGGCCAGCGGAGGCCTGAGGCCTGAGGCCAGCGGAGGCCTGGGGCCAGCGGAGGCCTGGGGCCAGCGCAGGCCGCGGCGCAGGCCCAGCGGAGGCCTGTGGCCAGCGCGAAGTAGGGCACGTCTCTCTACGGGGGGATGTGCAAGACCAGTCCAAAAAGTGATACGGGGACGGTGTTTCTATTCTTGCTAGCTGTTGCCGCGCGTTCGTTCTGTGGCTCTGCACGAACGAGATGGGCGATGGGCACGGAAACAGTGGGTACAGTGCTGAGCAGCAGTTCCCGTTCATCTTGGACAGGGTTCGCTGTCGGTGTCGCCGCGGCCTGTAAACATCAGAGACAGAAGGCCGCCCGCCCAACAGCGGCCGCTGTTGGTTTTGGACAACGTTTGTTTTTTGGCATTGTACCCATTTTCCCGTACCCATTTCGGGCTTCCAAAACTAGTACAAAAATGCTATGGGGACGATTTTTCTATTTTTGCTAACTGCTTCCGCGTGTAACATGCGTCTGTCTGTGTCCGGTCCCGGTTTTGGGCTCGACTTGCTCCCCGAGGGCCCTCCATCCCGGGGGCACCTTTTTTTCTGGGGACACCTCTAGCAACTCCCGAATGTTCGTTCTGTGGATCGCTTTCCTTCCAACATCTTTCCAGAATCCAAAAATAATGCGGGGACGATGTTTCTATGTTTGCTAACTGCTTCCGCATGTTCGTTCTGTGGGTCGCGTTCCTTCCAACATCCGCCCGGAGGGGGACATGCCCGACCCACGGCCAGCGCCGGTGCTCTGCCCTGTCCAGATCTCCGACCGCGTGATTTGTTCCATCCCAGGTCGCCGCCGCTGGCCACGCTGGGGCCGCCGCCGCCGTAGGAGGGAAGAGGAGGAGGAAGAGGAGGAGGAGGAGGAGGAGGAGGAAGAGGAGGAGGAGGAGGAGGAGTGGAACAATGGAGGAGGAGGAGGAGGAGGAGGAGGAGGAGGAGGAGGAGGAGGAGGAGGAGGAGGAGGCGCATCACCGCGGTCGCCGTTGTCGCCGGCGCCATGGCCGCCGCCGCCGCCGCCGCGGTCGCAGATCTCCGGCGAGACGTTTTTAGCTCCTGCCCAGGCTTGTGCCTCGGTTTCGGCCCTCGGGGCCCGCTCTATGTGTGTGTATATAAACTCAGGAGGGGTAACAACACAGACGCAATTTTCGGCGACTTCCCAGAGAATACGAACAAATATGGGAAAATATGGGAAATGGGGGGGGGAAGACACAAAAACAGAAATTACGCTACCGAGGAACCCCACATACTTAATTTAAATCTTCTGTGTTTGCTTATGTATATATATATATATATGCACAATCCTGCGTTCTGGGCCCTCGTCGCGAATGTTCCCTGCTAGGCTTTGCGCCAGTGTCGTGGATAGCGGCCGAGCTGAGAGACCACCCCCTGCGCACCCCCTGTGGTGTCGAGAAAGTGCCACGCCTGCTAGCTTTGCGCCAGTGTCGTGGATAGCGGCCGAGCTGAGAGACCACCCCCTGCGCACCCCCTGTGGTGTCGAGAAAGTGCCACGCCTGCTAGGCTTTGCGCCAGTGTCGTGGATAGCGGCCGAGCTGAGAGACCACCCCCTGCGCACCCCCTGCGGTGTCGAGAAAGTGCCACGGCTACAAAGCTTTGCGCCAGTGTCGTGGATAGCGGCCGAGCTGAGAGACCACCCCCTGCCCACCCCCTTTGGTGTCGAGAAAGTGCCACGCTTGCTAGGCTTTGCGGCAGTGTCGTGGATGGCGGCCGAGCTGAGAGACCACCCCCTGCGCACCCCCTGTGGTGTCGAGAAAGTGCTACGCCTTCTAGGCTTTGCGACAGTGTCGTGGATAGCGACCGAGCTGAGAGACCACCCCCTGCGCACCTCGTGTGGTGTCGAGAAAGTGCCACGCCTGCTAGGCTTTGCGACAGTGTCGTGGATAGCGGCCGAGCTGAGAGACCACCCCCTGCGCACCCCCTGTGGTGTCGAGAAAGTGCCACGCCTGCTAGGCTTTGCGCCAGTGTCGTGGATAGCGGCCGAGCTGAGAGACCACCCCCTGCGCACCCCCTGTGGTGTCGAGAAAGTGCCACGCCTGCTAGGCTTTGCGCCAGTGTCGTGGATAGCGGCCGAGCTGAGAGACCACCCCCTGCGCACCCCCTGTGGTGTCGAGAAAGTGCCACGCCTGCTAGGCTTTGCGCCAGTGTCGTGGATAGCGGCCGAGCTGAGAGACCACCCCCTGCGCACCCCCTGTGGTGTCGAAGAAAATGCCACGCCTGCTAGGCTTTGCGCCAGTGTCGTGGATAGCGGCCGAGCTGAGAGACCACCCCCTGCGCACCCCCTTGGTGTCGAGAAAGTGCCACGCCTGCTAAGCTTTGCGCCAGTGTCGTGGATAGCGGCCGAGCTGAGAGACCACCCCCTGCCCACCCCCTGTGGTGTCGAGAAAGTGCCACGCCTGCTAGGCTTTGCGCCAGTGTCGTGGATGGCGGCCGAGCTGAGAGACCACCCCCTGCGCACCCCCTGTGGTGTCGAGAAAGTGCTACGCCTACTAGGCTTTGCGACAGTGTCGTGGATAGCGGCCGAGCTGAGAGACCACCCCCTGCGCACCCCCTGTGGTGTCGAGAAAGTGCCACGTCTGCTAGGCTTTGCGCCAGTGTCGTGGATAGCGGCCGAGCTGAGAGACCACCCCCTGCCCACCCCCTTGGTGTCGAGAAAGTGCCACGCCTGCTAGGCTTTGCGCCAGTGTCGTGGATAGCGGCCGAGCTGAGAGACCACCCCCTGCGCACCCCCTGTGGTGTCGAGAAAGTGCCACGCCTGCTAGGCTTTGCGCCAGTGTCGTGGATAGCGGCCGAGCTGAGAGACCACCCCCTGCGCACCCCCTGTGGTGTCGCGAAAGTGCCGCGCCTGCTAGGCTTTGCGCCAGTGTCGTGGATAGCGGCCGAGCTACGAGACCACCCCCTGCGCACCCCCTGCGGTATCGCGAAAGTGCCACGCCTGCTAGGCCTTGTGTCAGTGTCGTGGGTAGCGGCCGAGCTGAGAGACCACCCCCTGCGCACCCCCTGTGGTGTCGAGAAAGTGCCACGCTTTCTAGGCTTTGCGCCGGTGTCGTGGATAGCGGCCGAGCTGAGAGACCACCCCCTGCGCACCCCCTGTGGTGTCGAGAAAGTGCCACGCCTGCTAGGCTTTGCGCCAGTGTCGTGGATAGCGGCCGAGCTGAGAGACCACCCCCTGCGCACCCCCTGTGGTGTCGAGAAAGTGCCACGCCTGCTAGGCTTTGCGCCAGTGTCGTGGATAGCGGCCGAGCTGAGAGACCACCCCCTGCGCACCCCCTGTGGTGTCGAGAAAGTGCCACGCCTGCTAGGTTTGCGCCGTCGTGTGAGCTGTGCGATGGTGTCGAGAAAGTGCCACGCTGCTAGGTTTGTCGTGGATAGCGGCCCGTGGGTTCGAGAAAGTGCACGCTGCTAGGCTTGTGCGCCGTGGATAGCGGCCGAGCTGAGGAGACCCCCCCTGCGCACCCCCTGTGGTGTCGCGAAAGTGCCACGCCTGCTAGGCTTTCAGTGTCGCGGCCGAGCTGAGAGACCACCCCTGCGCACCCCGAGAAAGTGCCACGCTGCTAGCCTTTGCGCAGTGTCGTGGATAGCGGCCGAGCTGAGAGACCACCCCCTGCGCACCCCCTGTGGTGTCGAGAAAGTGCCACGCCTGCTAGGCTTTGCGCCAGTGTCGTGGATAGCGGCCGAGCTGAGAGACCACCCCCTGCGCACCCCCTGTGGTGTCGAGAAAGTGCCACGCCTGCTAGCCTTTGCGCCAGTGTCGTGGATAGCGGCCGAGCTGAGAGACCACCCCCTGCCCACCCCCTTGGTGTCGAGAAAGTGCCACGCCTGCTAGGCTTTGCGCCAGTGTCGTGGATAGGGACCGCGGTGAGAGACCACCCCCTGCGCACCCCCTGTGGTGTCGAGAAAGTGCCACGCCTGCTAGGCTTTGCGCCAGTGTCGTGGATAGCGGCCGAGCTGAGAGACCACCCCCTGCGCACCCTCTGTGGTGTCGAGAAAGTGCCACGCCTGCTAGGCTTTGCGCCAGTGTCGTGGATAGCGGCCGGGCTGAGAGACCACCCCCTGCGCACCCCCTTTGGTGTCGAGGGAGTGCCACGCCTGCTAGGCTTTGCGCCAGTGTCGTGGATAGCGGCCGCGCTGAGAGTCCAACCCCTGCGCACCCCCTGTGGTGTCGAGAAGGTGCCACGAGCTGTGCCGTGCTGAGCTGAGCCGTGCTGGGCTGTGCTGAGCTGTGCTGAGCTGTGCTGTGTGCTGAGCTGAGCTGAGCTGCGTGCTGTGCTGAGCTGTGCTGTGGTGTGATGTGCTGTGCTGTGCTGAGCTGCGCTGTGCTGTACGAAGAGTGAGGTGTGTGTCGCGGGTGCGGCGCGGCAGGGAAGAAAACCAGAACCCCACGAAGCATGTGGGGAAATATGAGAAAATATTGAGAATAGTGTTTCAGCGAGCGAAGAACGGTATAACATAAACTTGTTCGCTGTCGGGTCGCCTGTCTCTGGGCGGCTGGAAGGTTTATACCCCTACGGTGCCACCGTAAGGGTATAAACTTTCCAGCCGCCCAGAGACAGGCGCCCCCGACAGCGAAAAAGTTTATGTTATACCGTTCTTCGCCCGTTAAGTGTTATTTGAGTATATTTGTTTGTGTCTCCCAGGGCCCCTCCATATATATATATATATATATATATACACACATCTAGAACAATAAGCCTCAGGGCCGCCTCAGGGCCACAGAGAGCGGGCCCAGGACACAAAGCTGCCCCCGCGGGGAAGGGTTCCAGAAGGCAGTTCGGAGGGTTCCGGGAAGGTTTCGGGAGGGTCTCCGTTGTTTTTTGGGGGGGACCAGTCCCTAGCTTAGCTGCCTCGATACGCCCGTTTTGAAGCGCAATGCTGAAAACGCACGTGTCAATACGCTGCGTGTTAGCTCAACGTGTTGGCCCACGTTTTGGCGAACGTATCGCGTCAGACCTACGTTTTCAGTCTACGTGTTGAGCTCCGTGTCAGCACGCTACGTGTTGCGTGTTGTGTATTGGGGCGGCTAAGGTCCCTAGCACTCCCTGGGCCTTCCGATCCAAGTCAGGGAACTTTTTCGTGGCCGTGGTCCGCCTCTCTGCCCTTGCAGTCCACCCGCAGAGGAAGGATGGGCAGCCTTCCCACGGGCACCTTGCATCCCTGCCCCTCGGCCCATCCCGAGCATTCTCTTTGGGTGGAGGGCAAGGGGTGAAATCTGAAGTGCGGTTTCGATGGATGTTCGAGGCTTGAATCGGCAAAAGGTAAATCACAAGACGGATTGATTTTCGAGATGCACAAGCCCATGTGGATTTCACCCTGAGCCCTCCACCCTAGGAACATGCTCAGCCATCCCTGGCCACTTTCGCTGGCCAACCTCGGTCGAGAAACGTCAACATGGCCCTCCAGGGCCCTTGCATCCTTACCTCGCGCCCTTGTGATACGGGTCGACCGTGGCCGCAGTTCGCCAGCTGCGGACGCTGGCCAGCTCCTCGGCGCGGGCGGCAGCTCGCCCACGGGCGGCAGCTCTGGCGGGACGCCCGCCGGGGGGCTGGGGGGCCTTGTTTGCTGCGCGGTGTGTCATTGGGATCTGGTTGGTGGTCGGGGTGCCGTGGAATCGCTCCGCTCGCCTCCAGGGTGTCCTGGGTCTCTTGGGTATCGGTGGCTCTGCAATGGAGCACGTGACGCTCCCGTGCCGAAATTCAGGGTACGCTCTGGGGTTCCAGGCTTGGGGGTCTCTTGTGGAAGCTCTCTTGTGGTCGAGCCCCTACCGTACGGTAGGCTCGTCTCGCGTCGCCGCTGGTACCCAGAATCTGCCAATCTGGAACGCAATGGTGACCGAAACACCGCCGATCCTTCGAGGCTGAGCGATCCACGCGGTGTCAGGAGCCAGCGCCCGCCTTCGTCACGACAGGAGCCTGCCGTAGACGATTGCTCCTCCTGTTCATCCTGGTCTCGAAAAAAAACACGCCATCAACATAAAACTTCCTGGCGCTCCGCGAGGATTTCTCGGATCCGCTCGGGGGTATCCTTGGTGCCGCCTCGGGCGCCGCCCCTGGCGCGTTCCGCGCGCCAGGGAGGTGGGTCCAGCGCAGATCAAACAAATCAGCGCGGACCACCAACAGTTTTATGTTTATGACGTTTTTTGTTCCTCTGATTCTCTTCTTCGTTCTGCTACTCCCCCTCAGGAGGCTTCCCAGAGGAACTCCTCCGTAGGCGGTCGAAGGTATCGCGCATTGTATCCGAATTTTGTATTGCTCGTACCCGTTGTCCTACCAACCCCTTCCTCCCAACACGGTCACTCTTCTCTCCACACCGGCAGGAGTGCGAGGAAGCTGCAATATGGGAGATGAACCGCGTGCGGGACGTCCTGCAGATCTCGAAGGAGGACGCGAGGAAGCGAATCAGGTTGCCTTTTGTTGCTTCCTTCGGCGGGTTGTAAGTCGCGGGCGTCAGACGGTCACGTCCTCTCAGATGCGCGAGTCTCCCCTGCATCGCATTCCCAGACGCCTGGCGGCGCCTTTGCTTCAGTCCTCTGGCCCTGGAGGTCTTGCCCCCGCTCCCCCCCCTCGGGGCAATGTCTCACCTCCGGAGGCTGTCTTATGGCCCCATATGTGGAAGAAAGCATCACCTGCAGGCCGAAGTCCAAACAACTGCGGGGCTCCAGGAGCTCGATCCCCCAGATGCGCGGGCCGCCCAATCCCCGCCACGCCGCCCGCATCGACGTCTCTCCGCCTGCCCTCCTGGAGGGCCCGCGCGCGAGTGGCTGGGCCCGGGTGCGGCGCGCGAGTGGCTGGGCCCGCCGAGGGCGCAGGGGGGGAGAGCCGGCACAGAAGCGAAGAACGGTCGATGCCCAGGGAAGAGCGGGGTGCTGTGGGACGTGGCAGGGCGGACGGCGCTCAAGAGAAGACTGAAGAACAGGGGGGATCCTGGGATTGGCGTCTATCCATCCATCTGCCCCCTGGGCTCCTCGTGCTTCCTCCTCGCTTCGTCCCCTCTCAGCCCCGAAAAGGATGGCGCCTCGCCTCTTCAGCCTCCGCCATGCCCCCGAACAGCACCAACGATCTCGCCCCGCCGCCTTCTTCCGCCGCCTCATTGTCATCGCTTTGGGCCTCCTAGATTTTTACTCCTCGGCCTTCTCCGTTCATCGTCCTTCTGAATAACTTCTCCTTGTCGCACCCCGAGGCCGGTCGACAGGCGTGCCGGGCGTTTCGCTCGAGACAACCTCACCACTTGAGACCCTGAAGCTTAAAGATTGGCAGCGGCTTCACAGATGGAGGGCGGGTCGTTTTCAAAATGTGGCTCTCGCCTCAGCGCCGCTCACACTTGTTTGACAAAAATTCGAGAGCTTCACGTAATGAGGGCGGCTCCTTTTCAAAATGTGGTTCTCGCCTGAGCGCCGCGCGCATTCCATTCTAAGAAGTGCCAGAGTTGCACGGATTCCCCACGATCAACATACCAGAAATGGCGCATGGGAGAATTCAGGGTTATGAGGGTGCAACAGTTACGTCGGTTCGCGGAGTTGACATCCCCGGGAATGGGGTGTTGGCACGATTCACGGCCGTGAAGACGCAACAGTCAGGTTGATCCGCTGCGTTGGCGTTTCGAGAACCATGGTCTGGCATGATTCAGGGTCTTCAAGCGGTGTTTTCGAATGAGGCAGTTCCTTCAGTGGAAATGCATTTGAGTAGGGGCCTATGAAGAGGGAGCTGGGATGGGGGGTGATTCCAAAATCGTTTTTGATTATTGGATTTGCACTGGTCCTCCTCTTTCTCCTCCTCCTCGTCCTCCTCCTCCTCCTCCTCATTATCCCCCTCGTCCCCCTCCTCCAGGGATGAGTTACAAGTCTTTGGTCCTTTGGAGACTGCGTCAAACTCTGCCATCTCCTGACAGCACAACGTTCACGGACTCGATGAGATAGCTTCTTCGTTCCTCCTCCTTCTGCTGCTTTGCCTCGTCGTCGCCCCCCCCCACCCTCAGTTGGCCCTGGAAACGACAGGGCAGTTTTTTTGCCAGTTCCATTTTGCCGTTTTGTTGCTGGTTTCGGCGTCGTTGTTTTACGGGTTCCGTCGCCGTTTTTGTTACGGGTTCCCGCTCCAGTTCCAATCATGGAGCCTTTTTTGTTGCCGTTTCCTGTCGCCGTTTTTTTGCCGCTTCCATTGTCAACGGGCACTTTTTTTCGGAAACAGTGAAAAACGGCCCTGCCGTTTCCGGGGCCCTCTGAGCCCCCACCCCCCTGCACACCTTCTCGTCCCTCTCCTTGTCTTTGTGCTCGTTCTCCTCGTCCCTCCTCCTCCCCTCCTTCTCCTCCCTCTCCTCTCTCCTTGTTCTTCCCCTCGCGTTTCCCCACATAGTTCCTTCCCCTGCGCATTGGCGCAACACGCCTAGCATCCCCTCTCCTCTGCCTCCTCCTCCTCCACATCCTCCTCCTCCTCCCCCTCCTCGTCACCCTTCTTCCCCTCCCGTTCACCCTCCCCCTGTCACCTTTTCCCTTCCCTCCCTTCTCGCCAGCACCCCGTGCGCCCCCCCAGAGATTGCTCGGATACCCAGTTCCCCGGCGCCAGCATTGCGCCACGACGTGGACCCCCAGAGATCTGGACCCCTCCCTGGGACAGTTCTTCACGTCCCGGGGCCCGACGAGGCTCCCAGAGGCCGAAAAAGGATCCAAAACCGTCCGTCGCGGTTTTGTTCGCGACGCCGGGGGGGGGCGTCTGGGGATCCCCCGGGCCAGCGCGCGGCGCTGCGGAGAGACAGAGCAGCGCGCGCGGCCCCCAGCGACGTCTCGCGCTCGCTGTACCGCCAGGACGCGGGCGGGCCCCCTGGGGGAGCGAAACGCCGCCGTCGCGCCGTGGCCGACCGCCGTATTCCTGCCTCTGCGCCAGCCCGGGAAGAAGGCAGGAGGCAGGAGGAGGAGGGAGGGGTTTCATACTCCTCCTTCTCATCATCAGCTCCCCTCTCCTCCTCCTGTCTAGTCACTCCCGAGCTGGTGGCGACAATGTAACATTGGAAGAGTGCTGTTCGCGATGATTTGGACGGGGCGCTGAGTTTATCCTAAGGCTACCCTCTGCCGTTGGCCCTACAGGGTGAGCCTGGCTAGAAGGGGAGAGTTCGGGGCCATCTTAGTCCTTGCTAGGGCCTATTGTGGGCCGTCCCAGGTGTCTGAGGCTATCTTAAGGCCACCCTTGAGTCCTTGAGTCATCCGAGGATCTTTTGGTCTGTAGGGTCAGGTCCTTGAGCCATCCTAGGGTCCCGAGGCTATCTTACGGCGTCTGGGGTTCATCTTGGGAGCGTCTTTGGGCCATTTTAGGTCGTTCTTGGGCCATGCTGGGCGAATTGGGCGGTATCTCTCGGCCTTTGGGGATATCTCGGGCCCGTGTTGTGCAATCCCGAACGCTTTGTGGGCCGTCTTCAGGCGATGTTTGGACATCTTGGAAGCACATCGCTTGAAAGGTAGGCATATCGAGAGCACTAGGAGTTGTCAAAATGTGTTTGCCTTCTCGGGGTCGTCTTGGAGTCCTCCTAGGCCACCTTGGGAATTTCTTTGGATCATATTCCGCCGTCTTGAGCTCTTGACGCCATCTGGCCATCTTTGGAGCATCCTTGGGCCGTTTCAGAGGCCTCTTTGGCTGTCCTGGCCATGCGGTGACGTCCAACAGTGATCTTGGAACAACGTGGACCAGCCACAAATTTGAGCCCCCACACCCTCCAGATAAAGGTTGGCACGTCCCGGCCATCCTAGTGGACAGTTACCTACATGAAGACAACTAACTGAAGAGACAAAGACAATATTGCACAAAGAACACAAGACAACAGTTTAGCAGAAATGTTCACAGCCTAGCGACCCCAGCGTAGCCGGTGGGTTTTGTCGCGACTGATTGTCGTTGTTCCTCAGAGTTGTCTTTTCCCCCGAGTTCCTTTGAGTACGCTCCATGGGCCAGCGGGCCAATACCCAGTTGAACCTGCCGCCATCGTTGTTTCTCCCTTATTCAGCGTGCTGCAACACTTTCGGAGAAATGCGCCATCTGCGGTGGACGAGGTAGCACAGAATCCAGCTCCTCTTTCGAGAAGGTGTCAGCAAAGATCGCTTGACTTCCGTTATCTCGGGTTGCATGTTGCAGCAGTTTGAATCCCCGCTCTGATTGCGGGAAGAGATGCGCATCCCACATGTTTCAACACACCGTTCAAGAACCTTTGCAGACGAACGTGCGTTAGTTTTGTCTGGTGGCACTTCAGAAACTGGCCTTCCCACTATCAAGGATGCCGAGGAGAGATATGAGAAGAAGTGTGTGGCTGATCTTGTCGCATTGAGTTGTTGCAGTGCTTCTGGCAGATCTTGTCGCATTAAGTTGTTGCAGCGCTTCCCTTGGAGGCCATGGCGCCGTTGGCAGTGCAGGGCTAGGTAGTGCATTTTTGGGTACATATGCCTGGCGGATGGTATTCACCTTACGGGCAGCGAGAGATTCCGCAACGCAGCATTCCATGGCAGCTTTCTACTGTCCACAATGCACGGTTAATGGGTAAGTTGCCCCTAACGTTTGTGATGCAGGCCGCAGAGCAGCAAATGATGCAATCGCCGAGTCAGCGATAACGGCTTTAGTTTGTTCGTTTGGGGTTGCCTTCGTGCTTTATGATTGCCTCGTTGAAACAAATACGCGAATGACTCCCATGTGCAGTATGATTCTCATTACAAGGGCAGGATCGCTCGTAGAGGATCTGTGTTACTATCGCCACGCATCGTCGCCAGCGTCGTCATCATCCTTGTAGTCGTCGCCATCACTGTCGTGATTGCCGCTTCCACCAAGAGCAATGGCATCCTCGTCCTTATCGGCATCGGCGGCATCGCATGCGTCCAGCGATCCTGTAGTTGGTGCGGTTGTCGTGGGGCTTGGGTATAGTATATGAAGGGGTAGGAGGGGGATGGTTGGTTGGATCCTATCAACATGTTCGTGTATTCGTATCCCAGGCCAAGCGGAGATCCACACACATCTGTACTTCCCTTATCGATCTAATTTCGTGGATGTCTTAGACGACGGGGTCAAGTGTGCGCCAAAATACGAAATACATCCAGAAGCAAGGCAGGGCGCCACACAAACATGCAATACACCATGATAGTGAGACATTGAGCCATACAATGCTGTACGGTCGAACGTGACGCAGGCAAGAACACATGGGCCCAACCAACAGCAGAACTAAGCACACACCCAGATCCTCAAAGCAGCTGGAACATATACACCATTTCGCTCATGACACTATTGTAGAGAGCACGTAACACCCCCTCGCGCATCGTCAGGCATTGCAAGGCGACGCGCCAAAGCTCATCACAAGTTGAAGCTGGTATGAGGCTGTTTTTTTCAGTTTCTGGTGCATCTGCTTGCATCGGGGGAAGTGGGGTGAGGGTGAGGCCCGACAGGAAATCACGTAAGCAAGAACCTAGATGCACGCCTTTTCGGCCCAGCGCCTTTTGAACAAGCGGCGGAAGTGGTGGGTGGCCGTCAGGAATCGACTCCGGATGAAGAGCTGGTACCGGTGAAACGCTGGGGGACGCGCAATGGAAGGGGGGCGATGAATTGTGGGCCAGCGAGGGCTGCCGAACATGGGCCCCGTAGGGCCCCTGAAAGGGCTTTTGAGGGCCCCAAAGGGGGCCTCTCAGGCCCGAAAATGGAACCTCCCTTCCCCCCGATCTGTCACCTCCTCATTAATTCGCACCCAACAACGCCTCTCGGGGGCGGAGAAGAGGGTTGTGATGACTAGGGGGGGGGATATCATGGCGGGGGCCATGATATCTCCCCAGATTTCATGGAGCCCTTATTATTTCACGACGTCCCTGGCCCCCCCGCTGGGCCGCGCACGTGCCGCCGGCCATGATTTGCACCCCCCCTTCTTGGACGCCCCCCTCTTTGCCGCCCCCGAAAGAACGCCTCCCAGGTCCTCACCCGCTTCCCTCAAAGCCTGTTTATTTCCCGTGGCGAGTGTTCGCTTACCCCTGCGGACCTCCGAGCGTGTATATATATATATATATATATGTGTATATATGTATATGTTTACATGTATACACACATGTATACATATGTATATATATATATATATATATGTCATGTCATGTCCATGCGAGTGTTCGCCTCTCCCCAAGGGTGTGCCAGGGGCTTGGCATCGCTCGGATGTGTGCATCTTGCTCGGCGGAGGCCCTCGAGGAGCACCTGGGCTCATCTTGCGCAGAGAATATGCACGAAACGGACACGGGCACGTGGAATGGCCGCCCGCGCGATGGCGACGGCGTGGGGTGGCGGCAGGAGAGGATAGGATCAGGGGAGGGGGAGGAGGAGGAGGAGGAGGAGGAGGAGGAGGAGGAGGAGGAGGAGGAGGAGGCGAAGAGAAGAGAAGGAGGAGGTGGAGAAGGAGGAGGAAAAGGACTCCGCCCCTGGACCCCCCCCCCGCCGGGGAGGGGACAAAGGGAAGGTGCTTCCCTTTGACTTGCACTGCCGATGCGGGCCTGATTTGGCGGCGAGCCCAGGGGGGAAGTGAGTGAAGAGGGGAAGGCCTGCTCAGAGGGCTCGGAAGTCCCTTGGACATCTGACAAGGTTTTCTGAGCCTTGACCGCAGACAAAGGGAACCTCCCAGAAGACGCGAGGGCTTCTGAGAAGTCCCGCCGCCTTCTGAGTAGGCCTTCTCCTTCTCATTCCCCCCCTTCGCTCGCCGCCGACTGATGGCCTGCCCCACCAAATCTGCGGCTTCGCCGACGTCTCGGCGCTCAGAGGTCTCGGCCCCGTCTTCGGGAATCCGGCTTGCCATTCCGAGCCGTCTGGCTGATGGTCCCGGGTCCGGGAAAGGGCCCCAGGAGGCCGAATTTGCCCCAAGAGCCTCCGCCGTCGTGATTTCCTCACGACTCGAGGAGCTCCGGGCACTGCCGACGCCAAGTCAACGTTCCCCCCCCGTATCGGGAGGACCGACATGAGTACGGAAAGCATGGGCACGAAGATTGGCAGCAAGTCTTGCTCATTCGGAAGAGGACTCGCTGTCGATCTCGCGCGGACGTTGTCCATCTGAGTCATCCTCTTGTCGCGCAGACTTCGGTTCTCAGCATCGTACCCATGTCGGGCGCCCTTCTACCCATCGGTTGCGAACACAGGTGCAGTGTAGGCCCATGCCAAGAAACACCCCGCTTCCCTCCAGGGTGTCCTGGGCTGCTTGGGTTTAGATGGTTTTGCGGTTGACGGCGCGACGCTCCGACACCACAAACCAATGGACGTCCTGGGGTCTCGGAGTTGGGGTTTCTCGTGGAAGGTTTCTCGTGGACTGGCCTCCACTGTATCTCCGGATGCACAGATTCCAGCATGTGCCAGGCTCCTTCCCGCTTCAGGTGTCGCGTGCCGAGCGGTCTCTTGCCCTCCTCCCTCCTCTCCTGGGCGGGGGCGGGCGGACGCCCGAGCTGCGCTCAACGCCCGTCTCGTTCCCCAGCAGCTCCTGGCATCGCGCTCGGCCGTGCATCTTTCTTTCCGCGAGGACCACCGAGAAGCATCCTGCTCCTCCTCCTCTTCCTCCTCCTCCCCCTCCTCCTCCTCCATCCCCCTCCTCCTCCTCCCTCCTCCTCCTCCTCCATCCTCCTCCTCCTCCTCCTCCTCCTCCTCCTCCTTCTCCTCCTCCTCCTCCTCCTCCTCCTCCTGCGGAAAGCCCGTGCGACGGCAGGAGCGGGCCGGCGGTGGGCGGGGGCGCGCGCCGCCGGGGGGGGGGAGCGGCGCGGCTCCCGGAGGGCGGGCGCGGGCGCCCCAGGACCTGGGCACGGTGGTCAGCCGCGTGGACGCCAGCACGGCCGAGGCGCTGGCGGGAGCCTCGGCCGCCTTCGGGCTGACCAGCCAGGAGCGGCGGCTGCCCCCTCCCTCGGGGGCAGCGATCGTCGGCCACGCGGCGAGGGAGGTGCAGCCAGGCCCCGTGTAGAAGGTCGAGGTCGGTTCGGAGAGGGCGCCCCAGGGTTCTTCGTGTCTCGTGTCTGTTGGATGTTCTCGTGCATCCTTGGGAGGGTAGCCTTGGATGTTCTGCGCACTTCGGCCGGCGGAGGGCCTCGTGTTCTTGGAGGATGTTATTCAGGAGGGAAAAAACACACAGACACAATTAATCTGCGATTCCCAGAAAATATGGGAAAATATGGGAAGTGGGGGGGAAGACAAAAACCAAAACAATATGAGAAAATATGGGGGATAATTTTATTTGTGTGTATTTATTTTTGTGTCCCAGTTTCCCTTCAGTTATCTTGTGCTGGGTCCGACTGTAGTGGTCGGGGGGAAGGCTTCTTAGAAACACCCCTGCCTCTTAGAGGGCGCGGGCCTTGTCTGTAGGTGTAAGGCTGGCGCCTGCCAAGGAACCGCCTCCTCCTACGAAGCCTTCCCCCCTCCCCCCACCCCTCTGCGCGCCGCCGAGAAAGGCGGGGCGCAGGGTCGGGGAGGGCGGATGCGTCGGCACCCACGCGCCCACTGGTCGCCTATGGGCCTAGGCCGCACCGCCCACGAGCATGCAGATTCGCAGAATTATCGGCGAGGTGCCGCCGATTGCATTTCGACTTCCCTCGAGCCGGTCCCCCCAAATCGTTCCTGGTTTTGGACTGTCCATATCTTCCAGGCCTCCCAGATCTAGTCCGAGTAGATGGGGTCGCAGGATCGGGCGATGCGGCTCGGTGTGCAGCTCGATGTTCTCCACGCCGATGCATCAAGATCGAGGTCGGCTCGAGGAGGGTCCCTTACTTTCCTTCGTTGCTGTTGGATGTTCCTGTGCATCCTGGGGGAGGGTGCCCTCAAATGTTCTTCAATCTGGCAGGCGGAGGGTTTCATGCTACTGAAGTCAAGCAGTGGCGAAGCGTCCTGGCTCGCCTATAGCCCTACCCAACAATGTTCTAAGAACCTTTTGTGGTTTCCACGACATGTTCTTAGAACATTTCTGGCGGAGTCTGTCTTGTTTTGTCACATCGGGTTAATGTTCTAAGAACAGTGTTTTGTTCTTAGAACATTAGTTCGCTCTAAGAACATATCGTGATATGACTATAGAAATGCCGGGACCGTAGGTCCCTGATCAAGGAAGGTTGCTCTTCTGTCCCAGGTCCGGCCGCACTCGGATCGCATCCGGGAGGTTTCCGAGCCCACAGCTGGGGTGCCGATCCTTTGGGCCTCGGAAGACGATGGTGGTGGATGTGCTCAGCCCCCCTACAAGCCTCGTCAAGAATAATTTGAGACGCTGTTCAATGCTGCGAGGGTACTGCCGGATTTTGGGCACCCCTGCGTCTGGGCCGAATGCCTCATGCCAGCGTCGAAGTAGCGCTGGCCACGCAAGCACCGACAACAAAAACCGACAATTTATGGAATCGCTTCGCTCATCCCGCCGGCCAATCTTGCATCACTGGTGCTATAGGTTTGTGTGTTTGTGGCGAGCGAAATGGAGAGGGAGAAGAAGGACGAGGAGGAGGAAGAAGGGGGGGATGAGGATGAGGAGGAGGTCTCTGGAGGGCTTTTGGTGCCAATGTGGGGCGAAACTGCACACAGGCACCGAAAACCAACACGGTCCACTGGCCGCGTTCCACTACTCGCAACGTGCCTTCTCGCAAACGTCCGAAACACACAGGTCTGCTTCGATGTAAATTCTCGTAGATCCCCCTGGGCGGATCCCGGCCATTTGCGAGTAGTCACTTTGCGAGTGGTGGAACACGCTCGTCTCACCGTCCAGTTGTTATTTGACGAGTCTCGTCGGGCCCAGGCTTGTCCAGAGAGCCACCGCCCCCCGGGGGGTCCCAGGACGCCGCTTCGCCTATCGGGGAAACGTAGGATTCAGGCGGGCACATCCCTCTCCAGAAGAGAAATTCAGACATGGTCAGAAAAAAGTAGTCTGGGGATGATGTCTCGAGCATTGCTTTTTACCATTTTGATTTGTTGTTGGGCATTTCTCATTCTTTTGGTCGAGAACCTGCCTGTGGGGGGACATGCCCGACCCACCGCTAAGTGGGTCCGCCCAGGCTGCGCCGCGTTGCCGCCCGGGCCCCCTGGGCCGCCTCGGTTCTCTCCCGGGCGCCCCGTCCCTTTGAGCTTGCACCCCGCACGTTGCGCCACACAGCTTTCCCGACGCATCGGAGCACAAGGGGCATGCGTGAACAAGTATACCTTTCCTGTGGCCGCGGGGGGCCCCGGACGCTGGGTGTCAGGATTGCGTTCGTGGCGAGCTGCTCAGCAGCCGCAGTGGCGCTGCCCTGGCGGCGACGGCGCAGGCCCTCTTCGGGGGATGGTCAACCGATTCCGCAGCGGGCCCCGCCCCCGCCGACGATGCCAGGGCACTCTGGGGTAAACATCGGTGTAGATCGCAAACCCGATCAAGACACGGCGATGCGCAAGTTCCGAGAAGTGTACGCACCAATCGCGCCTGATTGGTGTATGCATTCCACCCAGCAAGCAATGAGTGCTGGCACACACGGAAAATCGTATACAACCATCACTTGGGCTGGGTTTAGCCGCCAGGGGCGGGGGCGGTTGTGGTCCGCGGAATTTGGCGCATTCCTGGTGGGCGAGTCGCGACGAGCTTGCATACTTCTGTGCTTCTGCGCGCATGCAGCCACGCGCATGCATTCATGCAGCACGGGGAAGACGATGAGGTTACCAAGTTCTATCGAAGTAGGAAGGAAGTATCTGTATAGCTTTTGTCCCCCCAACATGGCTTACATTTCATAGTCTTCGCTGCATACTTTACACTACATATAGCGCAGCACATAGCTGACAGCATTCAGCTTCCAGCTGCAGGCCACAACACATATGTCGCTGCGCCATTTGTTCTGACGCGCGGCCTTACGTAATGGGGAGGGCGCTTGGGCCACCAGGGCAAACGCCGCCTCGGGCGCGGTAGGTTTGCCGTGGGGGTTGCCGCGTTGCCGGCTTCGGCTAGTTGGGGTGTGGCGCAGGTTTTGCCATGGTTTTGCCTTGGTGTCGGCGTCGTCTATTCGGCGCGTTCTAAATAAGCGGCGCGGCGACACTGATCTTACAGCATAGTTTGCACACCGCAGTTTGCACCGCATAGTTTCCATCCGCAGCTCGCACCACATACTGTAGCTTACGCCACAGAGCTTGCACAGGATATATTCCACCTGAACAGTGCAATGATTCATTTCTCGCGGGCCACGCTGGCTCACATGCTATATTCTTCATCCGTGACAGAAGGAGTGCTTTATCAACTAGGGGACATGCTAGACTGCCCTCTCCTGTCGGACGGGGCCCCTCCCGACGCGCCACGTCTGGCCAGAGTACATGGGCCCCCCATTTCGCACCGCGCTGCCGATGCAAAGGCGATGCACCACCTCAGAAACACCCTGGCCCCAATCCGTAGCAATTTGGGTTCAAGTGTGTCTCCCGCCGGCTGTTCTTCAGCTCGCTGGCACTTCGCTCGGATGCTGAAGTTCTCTGGACGCGAGCAGCATTCGGAAGACTATGGGATCACAGTGCCACGCTTGATTTCTAGATTCCCTCCCTCTGGGGGGCTTCTGTCCCTGATCCTCGACTGCGTCTGGTGTTGGTCAAGTTGTGAGGAGTGTTTCGAAGAGCTTGCGACCCATCTATCAAGATTGCGCTCGCCTCAAGTCCACCTGGGACTCCCGGGGAATCAACTGAGTGATGCCTCAGCAGAGTGTCTCGCAGCCAAACTCGTGGCGCAATGCACATTTTCAAGCTTGGACCTGCGGGAGAACCGCATCACAGAGAAGGGCGCGACCCAGTTGGCGAGCGCGGCCGCGAGCCGCGCAGATGGCGCTCCGCGGCTCGCCAGACTGGACTTGAGGAGCAACGCCATCGCAGATCCCAGGGACTTGGCCGTGAGTTTCCAGGGTGGCTATTTGTCCTTAGAGCTGTCTTCGCAGTGGAATGTGGCAGACGCAGACGCATCTCTGTCGCAGTGTGCGGGGGCCAAGAAGCAGGGCCAGCAGCAGTTCGACGAGTACTGGCACGGGCCCCTGGCCCTCCTGCGGGTGAGACTCGAGGAGCTGCAGCCCCAGGAGGTGCCGCGGTCAGCCACGTGTACTGTGTGCGAGCGCGTCATCAATTCCAACCGAGACCATCCATTGCCCGGTGCTCTGTGTAGGCACTTCTCGAGCATTCAGCACCGCAAGAGACTTCAACAGATTCGCGGGCACGAATCTAGCGGCATTCGCCCGCCATATTTGATCGCTTCGCTTACTCCGCCGGCCTATGTTGTATGACTGGTGCTATGTGTTCAAGTGCTTGTCTTTTTGCGCCTCTGGGGGCCTCTTGGGGTCCTCTTGGGGGCATGTTGGCCGTCTCTGGGGCCATCGTTCGAGGAAGGGTTCGACAGGTCGGTTCGGAATTCCCCTCTGGGGCCTCTCTTGGGAGCCTCTGGGGCCCTCTTAGAAGGCCTCTTGGACCGTCTTGGGGCCCTCGGGCCATCTTGGATCCATCCTGGGAGCCTCTTGGTCTGACTTGGGGCGTTCCTGGGGGCCTCTTGGGCACTCGGAAGCCCGAAAAGGCGGTGACGCCACAATCCTTGCAAACACTACCGACTCTTGGGCCCTCTTGGAGCTCCTTTTGGGTCTTTCGGGGCGCTCCTGGGGCGATCTTGAGGGCCCCGAAGACCGCCCCTAGTAGTTCTGGCATCCGTGGCCCCTTCTTGCCCGGGACCTTGCCGTTGTATTTGTCGTCCGGGGACTCCCCAGGGTTGCCACGCGCGCGCGACTTAGCTGTGCAAGTCACCTGCTACCGGCCATTCTAATACGCCTCTGGCCCGTGGGGCTGGCTCATTTCGAGGTGCCCCTCGCGTCGGGCAGAAGCTACCGCATGAGCTTGCTCAGCTCGGCGGCGAGCGAGGGGGGGGAAAATGAGAAGGAG